TGGTGTATGTACGCATATATATGAAGACTGGTACATATATATATATATATATATATGAAGACAGGTGTATGTACATACATATATTTGAACGTGAGTCACTTACGTGACTTGTGAGTGCATGGAAGGTGTCTGTGGAAACGTGTATACGTACAACGTTTTGAGCCAAACCTCAAACCCCACATGGCTACCGACCGAGATAACACCGCAACTAAGAGGATGCGTATAGTGCTAAAGACCGTGTACGTAGCTTACACAAGTGCTTCGGCGTGTTGGGGCCATGATTCTTTTATATATATATATATATACGCAGCTACCTTTTGTGTCTGATAACCTCTCCTTCATTCGTTTGCGTATGGTTTATAACTGTTTCTGAGTATTTAGCTAAGCTTATAGTTTGTATTGCTTTAGACCGAGGGTCTGTCGTATCTGGGATCGTTCTTTCACTCTGCGCGTACTGTGGGCATTTGGAACAAAGCGCGCGGACAGAATCTGTTGGACGGCGGCGCACCTTTCTACGACACGTACGAGACTAAGGTATGTACTTGTACGACATTGACGTATATTCGTACGACAAATGTCATATCCGACGACCAAGGAATGCATTTGTACGACATTGGGGTATATTTGTACGACAAAGGTGCATATTCGACGTCCAGTGTAGGTTTCCGTATGATATTGGGATATATTCGTACGATGGAATTGTCTTCCATATGACCAAGATATATATTCGTACGACGAAGATACATATTCGTACGACAGAAGTATGTATGCGTATGACCAACGTATGCTTTCGTACGATTGAGGTGTATCTCCTTTCCAGGAGATCAAAGAAATTAAGCATGGTATATATATTTATATATATATATATATATAGATAGCTATATGGATATATGGATATATGGATAAATACATGTATCCGTAAAGTGTGTGTTCATCTGCATACCCGTTCTATACACACAAACCTGTACTCCTTCTTCCTTAGTCCACAATCTTCGGATACGAGTGTTGAACCATGCACGCAGGTGATCTGTTGAACGGCGCTTCAAGATAACCTCTAGGTCCTACGCTTGTCAACCCAAACATTCTCTGTACCCCTACCTCTAATATAGTACACAATACCATTGCATGGTATAGCATGTTTTGCTAAAAAAACAATACCACCGGCGTATTTGGTAATAAATACCACTCTCCATGTAGATCAATGGCGTCTAGATATCCTCTGCAGAAACTCAGTACTACCCAACGCCCATGCCTACGGGACAAAAACGATAACGGTCATATACTCAACCAATCCGTTGGCCAACCCCTCAGTCAATCTATATATAGATTTGCGCTGGGTGTTGCTATACCCACGTATGGAGAACTCACAGGACAAAGTGTCCCGTGGAAAAAAAAAGGGCAGGGCAAGAGGTGCGTATGGTTGATCACACTTCATATCTTCTTGATTCTGAGACCACTTTTTGTTTTTTTTTTGTTTTTTCGTACAGGATAAAAAATACATGGCCGTAGGAACTATCGAGCCTATATTCTTCAAACGGGTAGGTCGATAGCAATTATATGCACAGTGCATACCTGTATGTTTTGTGTGTGTATAATTACAGTTACATTATTGTTATTGTGTGTATATATATATATATATAGATGTATATATCTATCGATCTATCT